TAGTGCGTCTGTACGCTGTTATGCGAGCGGGCAGATTTTTGCTTGGTGGCGAGTGCGGAGCCTCCTCTTGCGGGACCTTCTCGTGGGCCGCCTGCAGATGGCAGCCAGGGGCTCCAGGGGCTTTGGGTAAAGTGAAAGTTCCAGCGTGGCAAGCTGCTACAACATTGTACATTATCATTGCTGAATAAGGTCTCGCACATGTTCTTCGCGGAAGGCCCCGATCGCTCTTTGTACAGGCTCAGGCTCACTTTGGCATGTCAAAGTGCGCAATGACTTCTCCCGCACGTGCCCGATGACGATTTTGGTCGTCGCCATGCCCCCCAACTCGGCGTGGTCTGTGGTGCGCTGGCCAGGGCTTCTCCACATAGATGCTGGCATCCTTGCGCAGCACACGTGTTGGAGTGATTTCGGCTCGCAGGCCTGCGGTCTGCGCGCGCGGTTTGGTGCGGCAGCCGATCAGAGCGTGCCGAAAGACTGCGTTTTTTGGTCGGCGGCGTGCATTCGGATCGCGATGCCCTGAACGACTTCGACCTGCACGGTTGCGGTGCGCGGCGCGGTTCGGTGCGGCGACCGATGGGCCGCGGAAGATGTGCTTAACTAGGCCCTCTGTAGGTGAGGGAAACGGCGCCGTCTGAATTGGGTCAACGGGTCGGGGGAAGACGCACCGCGGATGGGGGGCAGGGGGGGGTCGCCCCTCCCCCCCCCGTCGGGTAAACCAGCGGCGCGCCTTCGCTTTGCTGGCATCCGCCTTCAAAAGCGTGACCCTTGTGCTTCCAATGTGATGGGCGGGCATGCCCTTGTATATAGAGTCATCCGGCATCGCAAGCCCAATCTTTGGAGCGTGTGGCAGGCATGGTTCTCAACAAAGCATAGTTCATCCGGCGGGTCAGCCTCAATTGCATTCTTCCGACGCCAGCCGATGTCCTTCCGGATATCATGCTCTCGCACTATATTTTCGATTTACTTCCTTGGCCGGCCCCAGGCGTAGGCGCCGTGTCAATGTTTAGGTGTTCTGGCCAATTGTCAATGTTTGGCCCACCCCCAGCGTTGCACCTGTCGTGACGCCTGACAGGTGCTGCTCAGACGGTCAGCCCTTCCAGGTTGAGCGCAGAGCCCGTCTTTGCGTAGGAGGCTTCTCAGGGTCGGGCTTGGGCCCATCAGGTCCGCTCAGGAGTTGAGACATGGGTCAGGCTCACACACTCGTTTTGCCCCCGCCGCCCCGACCTCCTTCCCCTCTGATCGTTGCACGCTTCGCGTCGGCCCACACCCTTGCCGAGAGTGGCAGAACTTGTTCATACACTGTGCTGCGGCTCTGCTTCGAAATCGAGGGCGTCCGAACGGTTACAAGAGTGAATGCTTCCATCTCCAGCATATCAGTTCTAAGTCATTCCCGAGTTACCCAAGGACATAATCTGCACTCGAGTAATACCTGGACGTACCCCTCACACGCCTTGTTTTTTATCATGGAGACCTTGGTACATGGTTCTGCGGCTGCTGCGGACACTTCGGCCAGACCCATCTCAGGTTTCAGTATCATGTGCCGCCCGACACAGTGCAAGGCTAGGCGCGACTATTTAGATCGATTTCCTCGCGACCTGCTTCCCTCAGGACGATTTGCAAGCCTTTTTATCACTACGTGATGGCGGACATCCTGGACATCCTACCTCCTTCGTCCGCCTCCCTCCTTCCTCCCGTCGCAACCGTATTGCCGATCTGTTGTTCGGGCCGCGGTTCATCGCACGAGTTTGCCCACTGCAGGTCGGCTCGCGCGGTGTTCCCGCTTTGCCTGGCGGCCTTTTGATCCGCGATGTGGTTGAGGCGCCCGCGTTGTGCGTGAAACAAGTGCTCCTGTGATGCGCTCGGGCGCGGGGGGGGGGGGGCGCCTTGGCGGGACGGGGAGGGGGGAGGGTCCATGGATCCCCCCCTTCACCAAGCTGTGGAATTTCCAGGCGATCGTAAATATGGATCAGGGGGGCGTGGATTCACGAAGGGTCCCGTTTTCTTATGGGAAATCGCGGATTTCTGCCGCCGAACGAGGCGGCACCGGCCGCATTTTGGGGAGGGCACCTCCCCCGATCCATGGATTTGGCGACCCCGCGCCAAATCCATGGATCGCTAGTCCATGTTTGCGCGCCCCCGAACTTTGGGACCGTTTTCTGCCTGGAAGGTCAACAACGCAGGGATCAGGCTACACGCTCGAATGCACCAATTGGGCTCGATGAGTCTAGGGTTAAGTCGGGCCTGTCCCTCTACAGGGGGAATATTCGAAAATAGTGGAACAATCGTCAGGGGACGAATTTTTGACAATTATTTGCTAGTTTTGAACCATTGCTGGTTAATTTTCATTTTTCGTCCAAAATCCGAATGTAGGAGGACCTGCCCGACCTAAGTCCAGGGGGGCCCTTCTGATTGTTTCGCAGAGAGGCGAAGAGGGCCCGACGCGCAGCAGCCGCTGCAAGCGCTGCTAAAAAAACTAGATCGACTACATAATTGAGTTACGTACCCTAGAAGTGGAAGTGCCGTCGTACCTACGAAACATGCGTATAATGTGAGCGTTCGGCAAGTTTTTGAGTTCCCAATCGTCCTGTGGTGATGGGTCCTCGTTTTGAGCAGACAGCGCCCCGCGTCTCCCTCACTCACTCTTCCTCGTCCTCCCCCTCCTCTCTCCTCCCATCCCTGCCTCTGCCCTTCGCACCAGTCAACAGTGTCAGCACACCCCTCACACGCTTCTGGCCCCTACAGGGAGCTCCACCGAAGGCCTTAGTGGCTGCGTTCGCATGCGCCCATTCGTGGCCCCCATAGGGAGCTCCACCGAAGGCCCCAGTGGCTGCGTCCGTCTGCTCCCACCGCACCCATGTCGGCACATCCCTCACACGTTTCGTGGCCCCATAGGGAGCTCCACCGAAGGCCCCAGAGGCTACATTCGCATGCGTCCGCCGCCCTTATTTCGGCACACCCCTTCACCATGAAGGGATCGGCTCGGTTTGGTTTTCAGTCTGGTTCTGCAGCCGGGTCGGCCTGTTCGGTTTGACATGGATTGGGTTTCGGCGGGTTGGGTTTGGGTCTCGCATTGGTTCGGTTCGGTTCTGGTTTGCGCGCGGTTCGGTCCCACCGGCTCGCTTCGGTTCTATCGACGGTCTGCTTCGATGCGGGCCGACCGGATTTGTTCGGTGTGATTAGCGATGTTGGGCGCTCCGTCTGCGTAAGCGACGGCCCAGTTTGAGCAAAAAGGGAGGAGGAAAACGCCCAGTCTTCTCGAACGCCAGCAGGAGGAGGAGGAGGAGGAGGAGGAGGAGGAGGAGGAGGAGGAGGAGGAGGAGGAGGAGGAGGAGGAGGGAGGGAGGGAGGGAGGGAGGGAGGGAGGGGGAGGGAGGGAGGGAGGGAGGGAGGGAGGAGGGAGGGAGGGAGGGAGGGAGGGAGGGAGGGAGGAGAGGGAGGGAGGGAGGGAGGAGGGAGGGAGGGAGGGAGGGAGGGAGGAGGGAGGGAGGGAGGGAGGGAGGGAGGGAGGGAGGGAGGGAGGGGAGGGAGGGAGGGAGGGAGGGAGGGAGGGGAGGGAGGGAGGGAGGGAGGGAGGGAGGGAGGGAGGGAGGGAGGGGAGGGAGGAGGGAGGGAGGGAGGGAGGGAGGAGGAGGGAGGGAGGGAAGGAGGAGGAGGAGGAGGAGGAGGAGGAGGAGGAGGAGGAGGGGGGGGAGGAGGAGGAGGAGGAGGAGGAGGAGGAGGAGGAGGAGGAGGAGGAGGAGGAGGAGGAGGAGGAGGAGGAGGAGGAGGAGGAGGAGGAGGAGGAGGAGGAGGAGGAGGAGGAGGTGGAGGAGGAGGAGGAGGAGGAGGAGGAGGAAGAGGATGGGGGAGAAGCAAGAGGAAGGAACGAGGAGCAGGGCCAGGGCCCCGCGGCCCCGCGGCGCCCAGCGGCGAGGTGCCCAGCCGCGGCGCCCGTCGTCGTTGTCGTCGTCGTCGTCGTCGTCGTCGTCGTCGTCGTCGTTCGTCGTCGTTCGTCGTCGTTCGTCGTCGTTCGTCGTCGTTCGTCGTCGTCGTCGTCGCCGCGCCCGTCGTCGTTCGTCGTCGTCGTCGTCGTCGTCGTCGTCGTCGTCGTCGTCGTCGTCGTCGTCGAGGGAGGGCCTGGCTTCGTCGTCGAGGGAGGGCCTGACCTCGCGACCCCTTCCCTCCTTCGGTTCTTCTCTGTGGCTACGGTAGGTTCGCGTCGTGTCGACCGGCGGCGACCCCGACGCGGGCGTTCAACGTTGAACGCCGGCGGAGGCCCAGAATCGGTCGATGATGAACGATCGGACGTTACGGAAATGGCCGATCGTTCCAGGTTGAACGAACCTCGCGGCGTCAGGGACCAACGCCCAGGTCGACACGGCACGAACCTGCCGTACGGGGGATGGTGGCCACGGGGTGGTTCGCCGCCGAGGGCGCCAGCGTTCCGATGAGGACTTCGAGGCGGATCCAGCCTCGGCGACGAGGGGCTTGCGGGAAAACCGAGAGCGGCCCATGAACGCGCGAAACGTCGCCGCCCGCCGCCCCAGGCGTCGTCGTCGCCGCCGCCGTCGTCGAGGTAGGAGAGCCAAGGTTCGAGTTTCGACGTTCGGCCCCCAGGGGTTTGGAAGCCTTTCGTTGACGCTTTGGGCTTTCCTGGGGCCTCCAGTGCCCCCCCCTTGGCCACGGGTGGATCCGCCTCGAAACGGTTGCCTCCGCCTCCCTCTCCTGATAGGGCCGCCGCCGCCGCTGCCGTCGACGACGGGGGGGCCCCCAAGGTGGCCCCGAGGGGCCCGCCGAAGGGGGGTCGCCACTGGGGGGGGGGTCGCCGCGAAAGAGGGGGGTTGCCACGGAGGGGGGCGCCACGGAGAGGGTCGCCACGGGGGGGGTCGCGACGGGAGGGTTTGCCACGGGAGTGGTCGCCACGGGGGTGGTCGCAACGGGGGGGGTCGCCACGGGGCGGGGTCGCCGCGGGGGGGGGTAGCCAAGGGAGGGGTCGCCACGGGGGAAGTCGCCACGGGGCTCCCCACGGGGGGGGGGCCAGTGGATCCCGGGGGCGTTCCCGCAGGTTTTCGGGGCCGCTGGAATTGCTCGGTGGTCATCGGGGCCATTCCGAGGCCCCCAGGAGGTCATAGGAGGCTTTCGGGTGCCTTCCAATCCCCCCGCGCTTTGTTTCCGCACCAGTCTCCGCTCGCATCCACCTGCCCCCACATATCAACGTTTTTTCCCCAAGTCTTTTCTACTCTTCCCTTTTATCATCATTCTCATTTCGTTCGTAGTCCTTTGTGTTATTCCTCAGTTCTTCGCATTCCGCCCATTCCTGCCCAGGCCACCCCATCCCACCCCAACAATCTCCACCCCTTCCCGCTCGCATTCCGCATTTCTCCCAAATTATTCCCAGTCCCTCCTCCAGATTCCTCCGTGCGCCCCCCGCTCTTCCGCACTCCTACCAGTTCCTCTTCCCCACTCCGTGCCGCTCCTCCTCCTGAGACCTTACTCTTGTCCATTCCATCCCACTCCACTCCACATTCCTGCGCTCCTCTCGACACGGTTGCAGTTCCCAGTATCTTTCCGCCCCGCTCTCCCAACGTCCCGTTTTTTTTTTTTGTTTTTTTTTTTTTTTTTTTTTTTTGTTGCAAAACATATATATATATATATATTGTTTTTTGGGGGTTCACGAAATTTGTTTCTGACGCCTGTTCGCGGCTGTGCGTCCCCCCTCTGGGGGTATCCACGCTGTTCTCTTTCTAGGGGGTGGTGCGTGGCGCTGTTCATGGCGCCATGGTGACACTTATTGTTAACCTGTGTTGGAATGACTGGCGCAAACCATGGCGCAAGCTGAGTTGCCACTCGCAGCGCAAATCGTCGTCCTCCCTCCTCCTTGCCCCTCCCCTCCCTTCCTCCGATCCCTTCGTCCTCGTTCCCCCCCGTTATCTTTTACCTTCGTTGTCAACGGTTTTACCCGCCGCGCGTGGCAGGGAATGAGCGCACCCCCCAACAGGGGGTACGATCGAAGACGAAGAGGGCGGGTATCCAGTGTTTGGGATATGCATATTGAATGACACGTGGGCAGATAAGAACGAACAGTCTTAAAATGGTTGTTGTTGATGTTGTTGTTGAACATTATTAATTCTAAAGAATAATTATTGTTGGGCCCCCTGGTGCGCGCCCCCCCCGCCGCGCCTAGGCCGCAGCCACGTTTTCATCATTTTCGTGAGGAAGCCTCAGGTAATTCGAGTGATCAAGATCCGGTTGTTTTGTTGTAATCCGTTTTCCCTTGCAAAAAACACTATAAAATGACATTTCTTGTTCTAATATAATCAAATTTCAAGAATCCCTTGCAAAAAATAAGGTAAA